TAGGTGTTTTTTTTTTTNAGTAGAAAAGAAAAGTACAAAGCGGAGCGAAGAGCGCAGAGGTATGAGTTGGCGGCTCGCTCGCAGCTTGAGTACTGATCGAAAGGCTCGGGGAATCGCGCCGCGGCGAGACCGGCCGAGCGCCCCATCGGCTTTTCTCTCTCTCTCTCTCTCTCTCAGACTGTCTCGCTCTCCCGGAATGCGTCTGCAGGTACGGAGACCCTGAATGCGGCGCCCCACCCTCCCCCCTGCCCTTTGGGAACGTTTTTTTATTCGCTACTTACTGACTATGTGTGTGCCTCGTTCTTTTTTTTTTTTTTTTTTTTTTTTTTTTTTTTTTTTTTTTTTTTTTTTTTTGATGGGTCGATAAATTATTCGCGACTCGACGATTGATAACGCATGTGTATTTGCTGCATAATATGCGTGGTGTAATACAAGTGTATTAAAATGATAGCCCAATTCGGTGATGCTTTGATCAGACCGTGTAATTATATTTACTTACGGGAATTGTAGGTTTTGTGATGGAGCGTCCGAAAGATCGAAAGTACAAACGAAAGGTCTGATATGTTTGCACACTGTGCTTATTACGTTACGAGCTTACGAGCGGCATTCCTTGACAAAATTTGTATGCAAGCGGCTGATTGATGCCATGCACGCGTTCGAGCTGTTTAATAGCCATCGTCGTACAGATAGCCAATGTATACAACTTTTAAGTGGAAACCGATTTGTACAACATATACAGTTTCCTCTTTGCGTGCGTACAGTACAATACAAAATAATACGTACGTTACTCATGGTGTGGTTAACAAGAAAAAAGAGAAAAAATAGGATATGTACTGTACGTTTTCGTATTGTAATTTTCATCGAAATCGAGTGGCATACACCTTATAATACGGTTGCCGATCGATTTTCGAGAGCGCACAATACGTAATAACAGACACGTTCGATTTTTTTTTTTTTTTTTCCTACCATCGATGGATTATGCAAAAGAGTCAATTGTGCAAGGAAAGGTATATTAGAATTGAAATTCGTTGGAAAACGCGCGTATAATATTATGTGGCACATATACATGCTTCGCTTTGCATATACATACAAAATCAGCCATGAGAATCCTGCTCAGCTACTAGTTTTAGAAAAATCGACTGTGATTGAACGAGGCTGAATACTATGTAAAAAAAAAAAAAGTCATCTGTTATATAGTTTATGTATGCGCAACATCGCAAATCTATTAACAGTCGAATCGATACTTCGAACACCCTTTTTACCGCGTATGTATGTAACGTATTCCCAATAAACTATCGTTGAAAATCACATCAAGACCCGAGCTTTGGAATAACTCACTCTCGATATACGTTACACGGCGAGAAAGAGCAAACTCCCCGTCCAAATAGCGATTGTACACAAATCACCGCTAGAATAGTGGAGGGGGGTGTCTGTTTGTTCTCGAAAAAAATATCCTCGAGCTTTCAGGAGTTTCGCGAATCTCGCGTTTCGTTCTCCCTTACGTAAGTAACGAAACGCTTCGAAACAAACAAGCGTGGAACGATTGCGCCACATCAGAGCGACCCTTGGGTGGAAAAAAGCGCCTTTTTCCAACGTATAGGTTATGTGCGCACTTCCGCGCCTTCGTAAATTTATTTGCGCGAACCGGCAGTGTGCCGGCGTCTCTGAAAACACGTACTTACGTTGTATACTCTCTTGTCTAGAGGTTAATACACGCGTGCACGTGTACACACACACACACACGATGCATCATATACTATTCCCGGGCGCAATTTTTCGTACCAGCAGATGGACGGAGATAAGAATGAGGCGAAGTGCTCCGGAGAAAAGGCACGCGTGGTGATTCGGAAAAGAAACCGGCCGGCAGATAAGAGGCAGGGGGAGATGCACGGGACGAGATTCATTTTAATGAGCTATGTTATGGCGATGGAAACAACAGCTACGCGTGTGTGTACACGATGACGCTTCCGGGAGATTTTTGTGGGTTTTCGTGCGTAAGATCGCAACCACCGATTTCGGAGTGATGGTAGGTGATGAGGATCACAACGCGGACCACCCGAAAATCTTGTTCTGTAAGTGGTACGTTCTCTTGTATGCGTGAAAGGACCTTATTTATGCGTTCTTTTTGTTCTCTGTGGAGGGATACCCCAAGCCCGATATTCTTTTGTTGGGATTATTATGATCGACCGCAAAAACAATTGCCACAGAAGCCCGTGATTTGTGTCGTGTTCTTTGATATTTGCTCTTGTTGGATGAGAGATATTTCGTGTCTGACAAGTTTTTTTTTTTTTTTTTTTTTATTTGGTTACGTGTACGACGCGGCAATTTGCCCTGCCTTCTGGGTCAAGGGAATTAGTGTGGTTCCTTTTTTTGACACGAATTATATGTTTTTCCCAGACCCACGGGAAGTGATGCGTGTCGAGCGCCATCACAAAAAAACATGTACCTTATCTTTTGCCTGATATCTTAGTTGCCATTCACAAACGTACCGAGCTTGCGCAAAAGTAAGAATACGTGATTTGATAATGTTGATTACACCTTCACTTACTGGGCCAGGCCATAAATATATTTTCAGGTCCATTCAATTGTCAACACATTATTGCTAAGAATTGAAAATGGTGAGTAATTATATTTTATAATAATTGTTTTTAAGTATCATACAGACACTGCATTAAATTTAAGAAATAAAAACTTTTTTTTTATTTCAAAGGTCGTGATGTGCTTTTTTAGCCATACAGGCAAGATTTATAATTTTTTTAACTTGATTAGAAGTCTACAGGTTACTTACAATAAAAATTACTGCACTGAGCAGTGAAGATTAGATTGATTGAAAAAAGTGAAATAGGTTTAGTTAAACATTAAGATGTAATTTTTAGGTAGGAACGTCTGTACCAAAAGAATGCCTTATATTTATATTTATTTAAGCATAAAAAAAGGGTTACCATACACATAAATTGTATAAATTTTGTCCGGAACCAAATCAAGTAACTATCATCCCATCGAGCTCAAATTTTTATTACCACGTTTTTTTGTACTTGAAAGTGAAATCTTTCTCACACATTTTTTCACTTATTAAGTAATAATTTATGTTTTTTCTCTTCGCACGTATACTTTGATAGCCATCAAACTTACAGGTGACCAAAAGTAAAAATATTACCAAAATTATTAGCGAGAAAAAAAAGTTACAGTTCATTCGAGCACAAATCCTTAACTGTAATATTTAGGTGATAGAAAAAAAAATCGCAGCTCAACTATGAAATTCAAAATACGTATAAAATTTAAATGCCCAAGTGGAGAGGCCTCGTGTCCACGTAAACGTATACCGGGGCACTTGTAGCTCACACGCGCTATCAATTTTAACGAGCAACGATTAAGTTTCTCTCTCCGGTAGTAAAGCGCGAATTTTTACGCGCCAGAGTCCGTCATTTCAGCGAACCGCGCCTCCGAGTTTTCGCTCATTAGGGACTACTCCCCGGTGATCGGTCGGTCGAGATTTTAGAAATTAGCGACGCCAACTGCGATATGCATGAGTATCGGCCGCGAAACGAGCTCTTTCTCCAAAAACCATACAAGCCATATATCCATGGATTTTCTAGGCGCGTAAATTTTCCCTATAGTTGCATGTGTTTTTGATCCTTGAAATCTCGCGACTCGACGTTTCAATTAGCCGAGTTTTATTAACGAGCACACCGTAACTGCTGTTGCGGTAATTATTAAAATTTAACGCAGGAGCGAACACTGACCATCAGTTATGATAATAAATTTTAATCATCAAAAGGGACACGCCGTAAAACACGTCATTTTCGTCTCACTTCAATTGAATAAATGTTTAATTTATTAATAATTGTTTGTTCTTTACTAAATATTTACAATAATAAATTATATCCACTAAAGAGAAAAGGACACCAAAGTCATGGATTTGGGGTTTCTGTATACGGTTTGCGAGTCTTGGGTGATACCGATCCCCAAAAGAATTAACCTATAATATATTATTATTATTATACCCACTTTTCACAACACTGCGAGTCCTAAGGTGTGCATTTCAACTGCAAAATCATATATATTTGGGTTGGGATCGGTATTAAACGTGCAGGTGTCTTTTTTCCAGATTTAATCCCGAGATTTGCGGAAGATCGTTTCCGAGCTCGTATCTCTGAAACTCGACTGGTCCCGATAAGATGGAGCTCGTTAAAATCCAAGATGTCTTTTTCGCGTGGCTGTATCTCGAGCAAATTTTTTCGCTCTAGCTTTCTTGAACCATCCCAACGTAAAAATGACCCCCTGAAGCAATAAATACGTAACGTATATGGTCCTGGAAAAGATAGAAACGATATTCATGCGAAATCGGTACGGTATTTCATTTCCCTCGATCATCGATGATATTTGGAAAATCTCGAAAAATACATATATCCCTCTTGACACCATACATCACAATTGAGTGACCCACTCGCAAGAATGTGGGGCACGCGAGAATTGCTCTCTATCTGATCGATTACACCGAGTAGGTGTGCCTAATTTCGGCGTATAAAATGTCGAGGAAGCGAAAGTATAGAGCAGTGGCGCTTTATGAATGAGAGCCCAGTGTCATTGACCAACCGGTCGTTTTGAAAAAAACTCATTAAATCGAGAAGGCAATAATAAAAAGCCGATCGCCTTGCGCAAGGGATATTTCGCGAGCTCGCGGTGTCCAATTAATCCAAAATTTTAATCAAAACGACGCGAATGTAATCTTGGATTATAAGTAAAAAAAAAAAAAAAAAATTTAAACAAGACCGATGTCCTCGCGCATGCAGTATCGGCTGTGCTTATCCAGTGGAAAAGAAGCGAGCACATGTGTCTACACACCTTACGTCACTCGGAGGCGTCAGTCTCAGGTGTCGGGAGAGAGGCGCCGCTTCATCCGATCGTCATCGCTGACAACCCACGCGTACATATATACATTTATGTAATCATGTGGCAATATCGTGCACGCAAAAATCGTGACCTTTTGGTGTACTCACCGAAAATCGAGTGACTGCTGCCGTGTTGGCTCCGCGAGCGAACGAACCTGTCCGGTGGTGCCATAACTCTCGCGCGTCTCTCCTCGAATCGCTGTCAATCGCGCGCGCACACACACACTTTCGATTTTTCTGATCGTCCCTCAGTCTCACTGTGCCGTGGGAACATTGCACTCGCGATGCTCCAACATCGGCATGTTGTCGCTACTGACAGCCGGTTACGGGCACACTACCGATCTATTATACGAGAACTCGCGCACCAGAGATCGGTAGGCCATACCGCCTCCTCCGGTCACTCGTGCTCTTTGACATCAGCAGCGCACTGTCATTAGCTTCGTGGTCGTCGTAATTTTACCTCGTTCGAAACGTGGAATCTCTCGCGTGTCGTAATAACAGAGCAACAGGTACACGCACAACACCGGGCGAACGGGACATTAGACGGGCATACTCGAAAGAAGGGTCTTGGCGATGGAAAGGTACTCACAGGAAATATGGAAAAAAAAAAAAAAAAAAAAAAAAAAAAAAAAAGAAAGGAAGAGTAGAAAAGAAAAGTACAAAGCGGAGCGAAGAGCGCAGAGGTATGAGTTGGCGGCTCGCTCGCAGCTTGAGTACTGATCGAAAGGCTCGGGGAATCGCGCCGCGGCGAGACCGGCCGAGCGCCCCATCGGCTTTTCTCTCTCTCTCTCTCTCTCTCAGACTGTCTCGCTCTCCCGGAATGCGTCTGCAGGTACGGAGACCCTGAATGCGGCGCCCCACCCTCCCCCCTGCCCTTTGGGAACGTTTTTTTATTCGCTACTTACTGACTATGTGTGTGCCTCGTTCTTTTTTTTTTGTTTTTGTTTTTTGCGTGAGAATTGTTGGGCCATGGGGCTAATGTGTTCGCGCTGTATAGCTTCTGTTTGACGTTTCTGTTCTCGTATAGAGGAAGACGAGCTTCGGGCTGAATGCAATTTGCTAAAAGATGAGATTTTTCGGTGGTTTCTTTCGTGTTTTGAGGACTAATTGAAGATTTGTTCGGTTTCAAGAGCGTTTGCCGATTTTCGTGAAGGAATATATTACAAGTATCATAATATGGTTGATACCGATTTTTTAAATATTACCTAGAAGAGCTATATTTTCAGGGCTTCAAAGTTGAAATAAGTCCAGGCCTTGTAGCTACCAAAGTATCGCAACTTTATAAGACTCCAAATATACGACTCTACTTTAGATGTTAAAAAAATCGGTAGCAGATAATGGTGCTTATTAATCAATTTTTAGTTCTCGGATGAATTTATTTATTTTAAAAACTGTATGAAAGCATGAATTTTTTTTCCAAAATTCGATCACTTGAGCACAATGTTTGCCAGTGCATAGAAAATCTAAATTTTCTTTGGCTGAATCGGCAATACTCGTTCGGTACGTATCTTTGCCGATAAGCTCATTGACATAATTTTCTCTGGTACGCAAAGAAAGTCACAATGGCAATCCATCTTGACTTCAATACTATTAAACGCGATTCTTTTTTTTTCTTCAACTTTCAACTGTAATGAAGACGCGGCGTATAATTAATCTCATTCGTACACGCGCATCGATACCTCCTGCACTCGATCAATCGACCCGCCATAAATAACAACTCGATCGTGAAAAAATCCAAATACTCACTCACTCTCTTTCTCCCTTTCATTGCAGTTTGTGTATGTGTGTGTGCGCATAAAATTCAAGAAGATAACATTGTACCGGCACCAGCACATATAATACGAATCGTAGATGCCGGCAGACTCCCGAGGCGCGAGAAATTTTCTGAGGCCTGAATCTCAGCCGAGCCCGTCTAGCCGATAAATCCCGAGCCCCTCGCGTAGCCACTAAAGTATGGTTTTTTCCCCCTCATGTACACTTCGATCAATGAAATAATCGCCGATTTCACTTTGGCGAGTACCTTTGGCTCGAGATACAGGCGCGCGAAAAATCGACGCTCAGAAAGTAATTTCCATCCGTTGGTTATCTCCGAAAGGGTAACCCTGCGTATAACTCTGAAAACACCAAACTTCGGGTAATGAAAGTGCGATGCAGTGCAACACGTCGCTCCGGAGGAAGGTTGGGAGGAAAGGGTTGCTGCATCAAAGGAGGCCAGCGATTGAGGCGAGAAAGGGAGTATGAAGCGGAGGAAGCCGGAAAGAAGGAAAACCGCACGCGCGTCCATTTAAAGAAAGGAAGGAAGGCACGAAATCGTGCCGCCGAATATATTCGTATGGTGCGTCCGATGATGGTTTCTTGGGCTGTATATACCTGTTAGATGCAGGGGGTATTATATGCACTTTCTTTTCTTCGTGTACAACGCACTGTAATGACGTGTGTGCCGGTCGAGGATCGTTGTCGGATTTTGATGGGATTTTACTGGGTTTTTTTGTTCCCTGGTTCATGGTGATGAAAGTTCTCTCTTTGAGGGGTATAACGAGGAGTCGTTGCAGCGAGCAAAAGGTGATCCATCTTTTTTGCTGAAACGAAACATTTACTGCGTCGATGTGAAAAGAAACCCGAAAGTGGCCGATTTTCCTTTTTGTTTATTGTTCGTCTGTGACTTCACGCCGATATTTCCGAAGGCTAGTCGAATAAGCGGAAGTTATGGGTGTTGGGGCGCGAGCGTGCATCTCTCGTTCTTTTGTCTGTGTTTATTTATTTCGAACGGATGTGACGTAAAGCAGTGTCAAGAGTATTGATTTCAAACAGGCGGACAACAAAAGATAACAATGAATTATTTTGAGGGTTTCATTACTCATATATTCTGGTTTCATTAATTTTTTTTTTATTTCATCTAAAGTTATGAAAAAAAAAATATATTAATTACCGTTTTGAATTACATGTTTTCTGTTTCAATGCCAAATGCACACTTGAAATTTATTTTTTTTATGTATCTTTCTCTTGAACGCTATTACATTTTATTTTTGTCTCCGAATCTTTGTAAATCTTTGTTTCTCAGTTTCTGTGGGACTATACTACTCGGTATCTGTCTTTCTCATGTTTGACCTTTTATTTTGTTAATCTCTTTCTTAATTTGTACAAAAGTGTCTCTATTTCATGTTATCATTTTTTTTTGCATTCCATTGGTCACTGGTATCATTTTCTATCATTATGTGCTTGGTATCTTCTTCATAACCACTGCTTTTTCGATTATTTGTAATTTGCACTTCTTGTTTCCGCTTCTAAAAATTGTTGTCTCCATACATCTTTATCACTTGATGCCTTTACAAATAAACCCTAAAAATAAATCCACATTGAAAGCTTCGACCTAAGTCTCATGGAGCTCGAAAATTCACGTAAACGACGTAAAAGCTGACCCCATGGGGGTTATTGGGTAATAGAGCTTACCGTATGACCTTATCAGGCTTTAAAGATTTTTGTTATTATGAATATTGAGAAGCTTTTGTTACAAGGAAAACATGTTCAAAGTATATGTTAGGGATACACAGTATGTTCAAATAATAAAAAAAAAAGACAACTTTTATCAACCAGCTAAAGAAATATAGTTATTTATTAATAATCCAACATCATGAAGTGAATTTGGTGTTTCTATTCGGTTCAAGCTATCCAAAACTATTAAGATGAATTTTATTATCAAGATCGCGGTCTCCATTCCTTCCTAGTCGTGTCAATTAACTTTCAACAAGCCATAAGCACGAAAAAAAGATACTATCCACATTTTATCAAAAAAATAATTATTACTCAATCTCACGTGCAATATTAGCACGTTAATACATCATCTGCATCCGCATACGTATCTGCTAGACATTAGAATAAAAAACAATCATAAACAATAAATATTAATTGCTTTAAATACGTGTATAAATCACCGGATACTCTCGCCTTTTGCACTGAAAAAAAAAAAACAAAAAAAAAAAAAAAAAATGACGTGTAAACGATTTCAAACAAATCACGGGAGATCTATTTTTAAACCACGACTTCATAATACTCTCGACGCCCAAAGCGTACGTGTACACACACACACACAGACCTTGAGGGGTATAACATATAAGTCAGCGTCGCCCCCGTAAAAGCTGCGTCCATACGTATAAAATACATACAGAGTCAAGAGGAAACAGAAAAAAGGTTCTCTCTTTCTTTCACATGAATATACATGCACGCGCGGAAGCACATGTGTATATGACACACATACATGCAGGAGATGATGGAGAGGCGGAAGGATCGTTTACTCCTCCGCTCGTTTCTCCCTGTACCTCTCTCGCGCGGATGTACGTATTAATTAGGATACAGTAATGAATTTATCGCGAATAAATTACCGGGATTAAAGGAATATCGGGAGCATCACCCAGCGTTTTCTTGTCTCCGCTCGGAGCGATGCTCTTTTTTTTTTTTTTTTTTTTTTTTTATCAGTCCGATGCGTGATACAAGATTGATATCTCCGAGAGCGGATTCACGGCGCTGGGCCTCTTATTTCCTTTTCCATCGTTTCGGATGGGCCGTCGAAGCGGGCGCGAAATTGAGCCGTGAACGGGCGTTGCGTAAAAAAAAGAAAGTCGCGACTTGTGCGCGCGAAAAAAAGCGATTCCTTTTGCGCAATCGGTGCGGTTGTGGGTTATTTTTGATTTTATCTCGGCCCTTTTTTTTTTTTTTTTTTATTGATACCGAACATTGTTCGTAATTAATAAGAATCGATGGTGATTGATTTCCCCTCGACTGAGCATTACGTAAATAATTGACCGTAAATTTTACGGTACTACATGTGTATGTATATATATATTTTGTGCTCGCAAGTGTGTTATTACCTTAACATGACGATTATAATAAGAATATCGTTTTTCATATTTATCGGCGTCGAAGTTGGCGGTACGTTGTACTTTGGAAACACGGGCGCGCTTGTATCGGTCACAGTAGTACACGGAGCTTTGGTCTTGAATATTGAATAAAAGAGTTTGTGATTTCTAAAAAAAAATTTTATTGCTTACCGTGTGCACGCGAATTGAATTTGTGAGAGCCGGTGTTGCGCAATGTGTTATAAATTACCAATGAGACGTTGTAATTAACCCTATCTCATTGAATTTCGAGCTTTCTGGCGCGATAAATAATTTATGTAATGCAGTACAAAATGATTGCCGCCGGGAGTGTGCGAGCGATGTTTCGACAATGGATTTT